GATTTAGATTCATTAATTCGAGCTCAAATCGTTTTAAAACCATAGTAAAACTTGCTCAGATCGATAGTAAAACTTGGATAAAACACGCTAAAGTTCCATGATGAGCTAAGATTTCAAAGATCAATTTTCCTCATAACTTCTTGACGGGGCAAAGATGCAGAAATATCGAAAAATACCTTGAATTGACTGTGAAACTATCAAAATAGTTTTTTCTAATTAATCTATCCGAATTGTGGTAGTTGAACCCCACAAAAACCCTCGATAATCCATCACTGAAACTGGTCCTAATTGATCTCTTGCCGGTAACTCGAAATGGCACCGAAACCAGTCCCCATATGTGAAATGATCTCTCAAAAACAGAATAAAACCAAAAATGCTAAATAATGAATTGATTTTTGGGTACTTCTTTAGTATTCGTAACGATTTTTGCCAACCTTGTGTCACTGATTTATTTCTCTTAAACCTGCTCAACTTAAACTTTCCAATTTTGACTTTAAAACATTATTAGATAACTTAAACCTTATAGAATTTTTACTTTAAAACATTATTAGATAGCTTAGGCTTTATAAATTCTGATAGTTTTTTAGTTTTTTTCAAATCTGTGACAAGAAAAGGGTTTAAATTGTGGGTTGTTGCCATTTAAAGTTCGCCTCCGCCTCGGATACTAAAGAAGTACCGTTTTTTGAATTCTATTTGAATTCTGAAGTCTATTTTGAAGTCTATTTTGAAGTCCATTTGAATTCCATTTGACTTTTGAAGTCTATTTTGACGTCTATTTTGTACTCTATTTAAATTCTATTCTATTATCAGTCCACTCATCTGTTTCCTTTGTCATATCGAATTGAATTCCATTTCTAATCTCCAGCGAATGTCCCTATATCTGGGCTCGACTCCATCATCGAAATCTCTAAATTTCGCCTCTCGTTTGTCTCTTCAGAGACACTATGAATGGCAATTTGCGGACGATCTCCGCGCTAAATCTGTCGAACCACCGAAATTGCCGACGATCAGATTGAGACCGAAAAGTCGATCAAAACTCGTGCGAGGAAGAACTGTTTATAATGATAAGAGGTAGAAGGGAAAAGCTAGATTTTGTAAAGATCTATAAGGTTGTCTCATATTTCACTGGGCTCAATTAGAGGCAATAAATCTCCGAGCGACATTTCCTGTAACACCTTTCGGCCAGTTGCTTGTTACAAATTGTCTTTCTTTTAAAAAAACTATACATTCGGATAAGCTGAGTCGAAATTATGATTTTGTGTAAAAAAAGCGTTACAATTTGGCAAATTTGGGTGTTTTATGGTTTTTAGTGTACTTTATATCGTGGATAATCTGGATTACTTGGCGCCTAATGGCTGTTCGCTTTAGAGACAAGCACACAAGCCACTCGGTCAGCCGCTAAATTAGTTTTTCCCTTGGAGCGCGTTTTAAAAAGCGATTACTCGGAAGGAACACACTCTAATCATGCGTCGAGAAACCGGTATTTAAGCTGTCGCTAGTACTGTAGCTGTCGGTATTTAAGGGAGGAATTTGGCGAAATTCCTCATTATTTATTTCGTTATTTTGTTTAGCAGAGTTCTTTTGAAAAATCGGCCATAGTATGGCGTTTTTTGGAATGTTTTAATGGTTTTCACTAAAGAAACAACCCTGAAATGGAAATCCCCGTCTTAAGAAGTCGTAGAAGAACCTCTGGGTTAACCACCAAATCGGTTAGCTGTTTCTTAGAGTGTTTTTTTTGTTAATTAATCTTTTTTTAGTGTTTTTATCACTTTAGGTCAGTTCTAGCAAGTTATACTTCTGTGCAAGTGCTATCCGATAAACCATTTCCTTTTTACAATGTGAACAAAATGTTATTTTGTTGCGTTCAAGCGGGGATAAAGCGTAATGTCTTCGTGAAATTAGCTAATTTCTTCATCACATCAGCTATAATTTACCGTATCCATAACTTCAGCTATAATTTACCGTAGGTTTTCGTACCAAGGCACAAAATATCCACTTTATCCCTCCTAAAATAACAAGTACCCGTTTTTGCAGCCGAAAATTTCATCTAAGAAAAGCCACAAAAACGACGTTGTTTTTGGGGCGGAATTTGAGCCGAATCGTTTTTTTTGTGGCCCACCCAACAAAGAGGACATAAAAACGGGGAAACGAACAGCCACTCCACAAAAAAGAAACCTTTGATCTTTTTTTTGAAAACCCTGGGATTCGTTCTACAATTCATTACTGAAAACTGATGAACTATTTGTGTGGAGTGAGTACCGTTTCAATTATTGATGATAAAAGTACTAGGTAGGTTGGGGGCAAAGAAGAAAACGGTCAATTCGTTATTCTAGTTTAAGACTTTTAGTCAATATCGTACTAACATTCATTTTGAAATGATAAAATTTAAAATTAAATCAAAATTCAGGCTTGAAATTACTGTAAAATCTTAAGCTTGCTAAAAGATTTACCAAGCCACAATGAGCTACAGAAGCCATTGGACAGACTGTAGTTTAGTGCAGCTAACTGTGAGCTATAGTAAGCCATGCGACAGACTGTAGTTTACTGCAGCTTACTATAGTTTGCTGCAGCTTACTGTGAGCTATAGTAAGCCATACGACAGGCTGTAGTTTACTGCAGCTTACTGTAGTTATTGTGTCAAAAATTCACCAAGATTCAGGCTGAAATTACTGTATCGTACCTATGCTTTTGAATTTAATAATTTAAGTTAATAGTTTAAGCTAATAATTTAAGCAACTGTGAGCTAAAACGCTCTGAAAGATGGTTCTTTACCAAAAAATTGAACTCAAGCCGGGGTCGAACTTGGCGCCTAATGGCTGTTCGCTTTAGAGACAAGCACACAAGCCACTCGGCCAGCCGCTAAATTAGTTTTTCCCTTTGGAGCGCGTTTTAAAAAGCGAGGAAGGAACACACTCTAATCATGCGTACTGCTTTAGTTTACTGTAGCAAGCCACAATGAGCTACAGTAAGCCATACGATAGACTGTAGTTTACTGTAGCTTACTATAGTTTACTGCAGCTTACTGTGAGCTGCTAACTAATTTAAGAAAACCGTAATCCTAATTTATGGTGTTTATGAGTCATATCTTCCTTTTCCAATCATCTGACCAAATTTAGAATCATTGTGCGTGAACCGGACTTCAAGAGATCCCAAGAGAACCTCTCGAATCTCAATGGTTTGCAGCGAAGAAATCTCTATCAACAGGATCAAAATCATTTGAGGTGAGCTCGCCTTTTGCTGTAAGCACCATCGAATTTGCATTTTAGCTATTCTTCAAAAGCTTATGCATTTTTGGAGTACTTTCCATTAAGCATATGGAACTTTTTGAATCAAATCCTGGTCATAAATCTACCTTTTCTAAAAAGCTTACCAATCTCTTTATTAAAAGATTTCTATAAACTTACCAATCTCTCTATTAAAAGACTTCTATAAACTTCTCTATAAACTTACCAATTTCTCAATTTATTCGCTTGCTTTTACTGTAATTTACCATCGCAATTTACCGCCGAAAGAAACGCGTGTCGCAAATTTTGCAGCGCTCTTGGCAAAAGTTTAGAAACTTTTCTGACCAAATCCCGAATTTCTGATCAAATCCTGACCACATTGCAAGAGAAAACTTCAAATTTGATAATAAAAAACGAATAAGGTCGATTGATTGACCCTTCGCTAAGCTGGAGAATCTGAAATGAGTGCGAATAATTGTGCGGCACCTTGTATAGTCCCAGTGGGTGGACAGGATTGGACACAACTGTGGCAACTCGGTTTTTAGACTGTAACTCGACGCCCAATCATTCAATTTCGCTAATTTCATATTTATATGAAGTTTATATGAATTTCATATGAAGTTTATATGAATTTCAAGTTAATTTCTGCAGTCAATTTCAATTTTTAGTTCAGAAACACAGTATGAAGCTTTTTATAGTACTGCAAAGTCCAACCTTTCAGCAGAATCGTGCCATAATTGTGCCCAACCCTGTATAACTCATAAAAGCCATTTTTATTTTGCCCCTTTCTCCTAATTTGTCTTAAAGTTAACTCTAGTTTCTCCGATTTTAAATTAACCAAAACTCAAAGCTAGCTAAAGTTCTCTCGACAGGTTTACACCAAAAAAAACCTTGAACTAGTTTTCTCTAGTTTAAGATCTCTAGTTTTCCTTTTCCTTTTTCGAATTTCCTTTTTTTGGGCGTTTCAAGTGGGAAAACGTTCCACTTGGGTTCTCGACCTGATTTGGTTTAGATTTGTTAAATGAGGAAACAGACATTTCCTCAAAATCCCTTTCATTTCGAATATCTATACACATTTCAGATCAAGCCGCTCACACGAGAGTCTTCTCAGTTATTCGACTGCCACGCATATGATTGATATGCGTAAGTTTTTCAAGTTAAATTCCGTAAACATTCTATTATTCTATTAATAATAGAAGAGCCAGCTTTTCTATTTTTCAATGTCCTTGTAAAACTCTTTTTTGTGCTTTTGCTCTAGCTAAATTTTCAAGAGATCAAAAAATGAGTGTTTTTTGTTGAATTTCCATTCGGTTTTCGACGTCATTAAGCTTTTTTAGTCGATAACTTTAGTCTATAACTTTTAAAGACTTCCAAAAGCTTCAAAACCTTTGGAAGTCTTTAAAAAGTTGTGCATATCCGAGTTGAGCATATCCGAGAGTTGACAAATCCATAATAATGAAAATTTCGTCTGAAGAGGCTCTTCCATCGGAATAAATACGATATTTCTGTAGTAACCTCTATAGTTTAAGCTTTAGTAACCTCGATAGATCAAGCTGTAGTAACCTCTATAGTTTAAGCTGTAGCAACCTCTATAGATCAAGCTGTAGTAACCTCTATAGATCAAGCTGTAGTAACCTCTATAGATTAAGCTGAAGTAAGCTGAAGTAGACTCAAAGTTTCTTTGTTGGATTCAAATAAACCTGGAGTTAAAGCAGGTATCAGAGGCCGATTCACCAAAAGAAATTTGTAGAAACAGGACAATAGTTTCTTGAATTCTATTTAGTTGAGGAAAAAGTAATGTCGGTTTTTGTCACAAAACTATTTTTTTTGCTAAAAACATAAACAAACGCACATCAATCAATGAGTGATTCTCCATTGTTATTGATGACTTGTTCCCATCTTCGTCGTAACTCCCTGATCCGATCCTCGAAAAAAAAATGCGGAGTTTTCGAGCCAAAATAAGTGTCGACTGCTTTTTTTGTTCTGTGCATGATTCTCCTCGAACTTTTCTCCCAAAAGAAAACTCTTCAACGATCGAAACAAAAAATAATCTGATGGGGCCAAGCCCGGACCATAAGGTGCGCGGGGCAGAAGTTTCCAAACAGGGGCGGGGCTTAGAATTCATGAAAAATTCGAACGTTAGTCAGCGTTTTCCGCTGGTATTATAATGTTTGAAGCTAAAGGGCAAAAGTTAAAACAAAAAAGGATAAAATAAGTTGAATAAGTTTCAATGAGCTAAATTTGGTAGAGGTTTTATGCATATAACATTGTAAACACTTTCAGGCGACAACTCAGCCCGTCCGCATCCCGTTCATCCGTCGGTGTTGGATGTGCCCAATTGTTTCCGAGTCGCAAACACCTATTACGCTTGCCGAACACCGTTAGAGCGAGCGAAATGGATTGAGAAGTGAGTTTGACTTAAACTCTGCAAGATCAGCTTGTAACTGTTTTGCAAGCCACCCTCAAGTGTCAGCTATACTTGGATGACGTGCAAAATAATTACAGGAACCCATGCATTTCTCTATGTCTATGGGACATTTGATACGCGCCCGGCCCCCTTTGCCGTTGGCAATCGAACTTTGAGCTCAAATATCTTGGTGTTCGGCTGTCCAATCTTAATAGTTTTTGTACCAATCGACAGAGAAAGACTTGGCGCATCCAATGATATCAAGAGTATTTAAATTGAACAGCCCAACACCAAGAAATTTAAGCTCAAAGTTCAATTGCCAATGGCAAAAGGACTCAAATGTCCGATAGCTTTTCTCTATTTTGACTAGTTAGAAGTTCTAACTTAGAACTTTTGCTGTTCATCATTGAAAAAATTGTATCTCGAAGAAAAATAGAGAAATGATTGGGAGAAAAGTTAGAGAATTTATTGATCCTGTTGACTTGAGGAATTAGCCATCAGCAAAAGGATTAGTTTGGGGTACAGGTGGCCCTCAAAGAAAGGGAAAAAAGAGAAAAGTTTTGAGATCAATGATTGGGAAAACTCATTTAGAGAAGAGACAGTTTTTGTTTTCTTTAAGAGTAATATATCTTTTGAATTGCAAAACTGCAAGTCTTTTATGGAAATTTTGATAGTTTTTGATAGGTTTTTGATATGTTTTTGATCTAGTTTATCTTAACATAAACAATTTGCATCAAAAGCTGCGCTCTATCTAAGGCTCTAAAACAATGCTTGTTTCATTACAGTAATCTAAATAAATAAAGGCTTAATAACTTTTCAAAGGTTTAAATCAAAGGATTAATTGATAAATAAATCAGTATCTTCATTTATTAGTTATCAAGTTTGTTGTTAGCTATCAGTTTTGTTTTGTTCTGTTAGCTGCATTTTTAGAATTTCTATCCTCTAAGGAATAGTACTTTTTGACATTTTTATTCAAAATTAATCTTAAGGTAGATATTTAAAGATTCAAAAACCAAAAAAATCAATTAACTTCAATAAGATTTCCTCTAGTCAATCCCGTTTTCACAATTTAAACCCAAACTTTTCACCCCAATTTTTTTCCCTTTTCCAAATGACCTCATCAAGGCCGTTTTTCTTCCTTTCAGCTAGCTTTCGTACAAAAAAAAGTGATAGAAAACCACAAGAATTATTGATTTAGATCTTATGGTAAGATTTAGATCTTACGATAAGATTTAGATCGTCGCATCGATTCCCCTTTTCAATTCCATTTTCAATTGATATTTTCAATTTATATTTAGCTTCTAGAAAGAGAAAGACTGAATAGAGGAAGCTTTAACAAGTCCTAAACGTTTCTAACGATGATCAATAAACGGGTAAAAAGCTGTAGAGTATTAAATTGAAAGAAAAAAAAAACCAAAAAGCGAAGCGGGGAACCGAACCCGAGTAGGGACCCGGTCTCCCACCGAGAGGCAACTTCACTATCCACTAGGCCACCGGGGCTTAGGTCTGAGTGATTGAAAAGCGCCCTTTAAAGCTTATCTTCAAAACTTCAGTTCAATTTTTAGCTTTAAGGGTGCTTTTCATTCAATGTGATTCAATTCTTTTCATTCATTCAATGACCACCTGTAGCCTAGTGGGTAGTGGGATGGCCTCTCGGTAAGACCGGGTCCAGCTTCGTGTTCAGTCCCGCTCTTGGTTTTAGGTTTTATTTTCTTTCAATGTAATACCTTACAGGTTTTTACCCGTTCATTGCTCATCGTAAGAAAAGTTTAAACCTTCTTAAAGCTTTGTGAGTTGCTTCAATTTTAAGTTGACTTGTTTAGAGCTGACTTGACTATTTTATGGTCATTTGACGTAACAATTAGCATTTAAAGAGTCAGCGGTTAAAGAGTCAGCCATTTAAAGAGTCAAAAAACCACAATAATTATTGATTTAGATCTTATGCTAAGATTTAGATCAATCTTATGATACGATTTTTGCTTTTTATTTGTTTCCTGTTTACTTTGCAAAATTTACGATCAGAGTCACTTTCTTGGCTCGTAAAGCTCGTGGATTTTCGTTTTCGCAAACATTCTAAGTTGCAAAAAGCAAAGAAAAAAAGGTTTTTAGTGCACTTTTTATGATCTAGATTGATAAAAGAGTTTAAAAAGTAAATAAGAGCCTCAAATTGTGCTTATAAAAGTGTTTGTTAGCCAGTTTTGTTTTGTGAAAGAATTTTTGGTTGAAGTAATTTGCAGTAAAGCGTAGACTTACAATAGCAACTTGTTACCGATAAAATTATTGATAAAAACATGTCAAATTTCTCAGTAACATAGCAGCCTGTGATTATAATAGCAATTTTATATAAGCAAATGTTTTTTTGATCTTTTTGATTGTCTTGATCTTTCTTTTTTGGTCTTTTTGAACGTTTTGATCATTTTGATCGTCTTGATCTTTCTTTTTTTGACCTTTCAAAACAAAATCTGTTTTTGGAGACAATAAACTATACAATTTTGCTAAAATCCTTTATAGATTCAATCATTTGCTTTTTATTGTTGACCAGATCGTGATCAGAGCATAAAAAGGCATAGCAATACTTTGATGATTCGAATTTTGACTAGTCACACTTTAAAGACATATTGAAGCGCACATATGCAAACATGTGTGTCGGTCGGCCTCTTCCCGTAAAAAGAAAATGGGATAGGAAGGAGTAAAAAGAAGTGAAAAAGGGGAAGAACTCACGAGTTGGCACTCGTCGAGTAAAAGAGATTTCCCGGGTCGAACTCGGAGATTTCTTTTTCACCTCTTTTTGTACTAAATTGATTGAGGTGATTTTTTTTGGATTTCAAATCAGTTTTTGATTTCTCTTCTCTTTTATTTGTAGCTTTGTTCTTTGTTTGTTTTACAATTTGTTAAAATTTGTTTAAAGTGGCTTTGTTACTTTGTTAAAAGTAGCTTTGTCGCTTTGTTGCTTTAGAAAGCAAGCAGTCATTTAACTGCATCAAGGCACTCGACTGGATAACTTTTAAACTAAGTTTTAAACCAGCTTTTAAATGTTTAAACCTGCTAGGCTTACTAATAAGCTAATACTTTTACGCGTTTGCGAGCTATTCAGCAAATTTTGATTACAGATTCGGATTCCCCGTTCGATTTTCTATCGGATGGGCTAGATCTAGGCTAGAAAACCTAGAAAACCCACAGTCACCTAGTACTCCTCTCTAGTAAAGCTAAACCAAAGCCAAGGCTACTTTAGAGGCCCCGTTTGGAAAATCCCTGTCACTTACTGTTAGATTTCTTTTCCAAAGATGACCTAAAAGCTATCAAGTTGGACACAAGTCCTTTTATGAGTTGAGGCAAGGAATACAAAACCTGGTCGGCGCCGGGATTCGAACCCGCGATCTCTCGCTTACCGGGTGAACACTCTACCAATCAGCTACTAGAGAAGAGTACTAGATCACTGTGGGTTTTCAGCTGCACCAGAACGGGTCCTATTGTCGCCAGGATTCATTACTTTCACCCTTTTTCTTTTAAGACCCTTTCACCAGGGTGAATCGGGTCACCGATGGCTACTAATTACCACATAGGTCAATGTTCTCACAGTCGCATTGAATCCCAAGAGTCCCATTGAATCCCAACAGTCCCCTGTCAATCCATTTCCTTTTTTTTGAATCCCTTTCCCTATCATTTCCTTCAAATCAATCGATATTTTTCAATTCTTTTCGCTTGGCAAATTTTTCTTTTTCAGAAAATCCTTCCGAACACAATAGGAGTCAATTTTTCGATTTCTATCTTTTTTCTGGCTTTCTATTTTCTGGCTTTCTTTCAGCTAAATTGAAATGCATAGGGAATAGGGATGAGTCATTCGAAAATGTTTTGGTGGAAATGTTTTGATTGTGGTTTTTTCTTCTTTTCTTTCGTTGAACTAATTGAAAATTGTAAGACTTTTAGGGAGGAATTGGAAATTGGCAAATTTTTCGCAAAGTTTATTTAAATAGAAATAGAAACAGTTTATACTTTTTAGATACAAAAGTTAACATTAGATAGGCGTTGTTTAACATTAGATAAGCATAAGCTATAACTCGCTTCGTTGTTGACCGATTTAGATGATTTTACTACCGTTTTGTAGCTCTCAATGAGCGCAGCGAAACGGTAGTAAAATAAAACTCATTGAGAGCTACAAAATGGTAGTAAAATCGTCTAAATCGGTCAACAACGAAGCGAGTTATAGCGAGTTGCTGAAATGCCTGAAATATGGAAATTGGGCTCTCCCCGAAAGAGCTAACTTGTAGAGCTGACTTTTAGAGCTAACTTGTAGAGCTAACTTGTAGAGCTAACTTGTAGAGCTGACATGCAGAGCTAACTTGTAGAGCTAACTTGCAGAGCTAACTTGTAGAGCTAACTTGTAGCAATTTAACTCAATTATTTGTCTTAAGTAAACGGTTTAAATGCGTTTAGAATTAAATTATATTGCAGAAACAAACCTTTAAAATCTATTCTTTGGTCACTGGAGTAAAGTCAACAAAGAATAAGTGTTTTCAACAAAAAGAAAGAGCAAAAGGGAAGTCCTTGAGATGAGTGTGGCCCTAAAATGGAGTGGGGGGAATCGAATTGGGAAGAAAAAAGAACAATCAATCAATCAATGCCACGAGACTCATTTTCTTTCCCGAAATGACTCATTTTCCTATAATTTCCCCACTTTGTACACAACTTTTGGCAATATTCAGAAGGATTTCAATCTAAATTCTCGGCGCACAAAGAAATTCCGATAAGGAAAAGGGGAAAAGTTGAGACGACCCGGAGCCCCCAAAATTCTCTAAAAGCTCTAAAAGCTCTTCTCTTCTCTAAAAGCTATGTGTTGTTTTTTTGAAAATTTAATCGATTTTCTGATCAAATGGAGTATTTTCCGGGATTGAAACGTTTCAAGATCGTTCATTTGCCGAGGTAAATACAATTTTATGCTTATTTTATGCTAGCAATTGATTGAAACGTAGCTTTTTTTTATTTTAATCTTTCTTATGAAA